GGGGTGTGTGTATATATTAATTTTTATAATATTATTATTAATATTTAATTAAATATAAAAAACTGTATCTATATATAAAATATCTGATTTTGAAAAATTAAAACTTGAAATCTGATTTATGAATTTGAATCTTGAAAAGTAGGGCTTGATGTAATTACCACATAATAATATAGCTCAAGCATGGCCTAAGTTTTTTTTTTTTCCCTATTTCAAGATCTTGATCAAATGAGGGTGTTCGGCTATACTTATATAAACTTTTTAGAATTAATAGCAGAGAATTCCCTAGAACTGATTTCATATACGGTATACCTCTCTGTATATTGGAAATCGTAGAAAACTCGTGCTTAAAACCTTTTGTTCAAAAAAATTCTTATCAATCCGTTTAAATTAATTGTCAAAAAAGTAAAATATTGTCAAAATTAAATAAAAATAATTACAGTTGTCGTATTTAAATTTTTTATTTTTTGCAAATTATATTCAGACTTGTAATACTTGTCCCCAACAATTCCGAACATTTAAAACTTTATTTCCTTTCCCATCCCACCTTCAACCATACCCATGCGGCCACCTTCAACCACCAATAACTCCACCATGAATCCCCTAATTACTGGTGCTTAATCATACTGTTAACCTCACCAACCTTTTCCATCTTCTTCACGTTGTTAGGGTTTAATCATACTGTTAAACCCAACCCCATTTGCACACTCTTCCAAATTCATCTGTTAATTCCAAAACCCACCATGAATCCCCAATTACTAAACCATGTTGACAGACTCAATCAAACATTTCTTGACCCTATACGAAAATGGACGCTCTGATTTTTCGGCTTTTGAGTTGATTTTATTCATGTTAATTCAAAGGATTAGTAGCAGAAAACCCCCCTAAAAAGGTTTCCAATTGCGATATACTCTCTTACCTATTGAAAATCGCATAAATCCCCCCTGTTTGAAACATTTTTTGTGAAAAATCCCCCTATCGCCACCTCGCCAGATTTCACAAAAAACAAACATAAGTAAACCCGCACACTGAAATAGTCTTCATGAATCAAATATACTATTTTTATGGTATGAACACAAATTAAGTTTCGGCTACAAGTGATCAAACCGAACAATGTTTTCTCGTTTCCCCCTCTCGTTACTTCGAAATTACCATTCTATTGCCCATCCACCCTCCGTTCTCTCATTATCGCAAACCACACTCGTGCTAGATTATGTGCTCGATAAGATATAATCCCTTTTCATTTTAAACACAAAGAAAGAGATATATACAAATTGTGTGCACAAATTTACACACATACGAAGATTCTTTGTTATTTTTTGATTTTTTGCTTAATTTTATGGAGCGTAATACAAGGAAGCTGGGATTTCTGAGATACGTTATAGGAGTGGGTGGAAGATAAGCTTTAAAGGTTTGGGAATATGGGTGGCACAAATAAAAGATTTTGACGTAATTTGTAAAAGAAATAAAAAAGTTTAGGATCACAACAGCAATTATTTATTTTTAATTTTTGCAATTTCTACACGTTAAAATTAACGGAATTGGACGATAAAGATGGAGAAAACAATTTGGGAACAAAAAAATTTCGGACAGAACGTTGCGGCGCCATCTTGCCTGTTCCGATTTTCCGCGTTTTTCTCTCATTTTTTCATTTTAGACTGGATTTTTTGGCATCCTACTTCATCAACAACTCTACTATGAGGGTTTGAACGTCCCCTACATATTCTTTATAAATATTTGGCTTTTCTATACAATTTAATAGTGTGAGAAAATAGATTGCTAAAATTATAGGATCCATTGTAATTTTTCTCTCTTCTTCATTATTCTTGAATCAATAAAATTTCTTAATTCCTATGTCATATTTCTTGTCTTTATTATTCTTTTGTTTGATTTAATACTTCATTATTTGTCATATAAATTCAACAATTCATTTCGGCGGTTGATTTCATCTAGTGGTATTCAAATAATACATAGAGATCCGAACATATTAATATTACTTCTAACAAGAGATATGTTGGTTGTTTCATAACAACATTAATTGCAGAGATTGCAGATGCATATCTATTGTTTGAATTTTTTGGATTAATGTATGCATTCAAAAAACTACATTAAATTTGTGATGGACTGTGTTATCTCTACTGTAATCTTGTTATTAAATTTGATAAAATATTGCCTTGCATTGGCTTATAAATTCCCCCTCCTCGCCCCTCCGCTATACCACACACACACAGAGCGGGTGCGAGCACCCACCACCACTGCTATTAATGTTGGAAAATGGTTTTTAATACTAGTGAAATGGGTCAACTTTGAGCCCAAATTTCAGTAGGATTCGTGCCTTAATTTCAAGCATATTCATGTTCTACTCCACAAGAGGATTAACGTGATATATTTATTTGTCGAAAACCATTTAGTATTGAATGAAATATTTAATGTCAAAGTAACCCGTTTGAAACACAAATTTGATTTATTAGAAAATTCTCATACACTTATCCCACATCGGAAAATTATGAAATTTTGATGTGGTTTATATAGTGTAAGGTTGAGAATTGGGTTTGGGTACTAAGGGGTACCAATAGTCTTTAGAAGGGAGAAGACCTATATCCTATAGGATTCGGTCCAAACCCTACAGGCGCGCGCCACCGCCGCCGTCCGTCCGACCG